CTTCCCGCGCGAGCGCCCCTGAGGTACCGCCGCCACCTCCCTGAGGCGATCGTTCCCCTCGCCTCATCGCGGCGGCGGCGGGCGAAGGAGGGGATGGACCCTCCGTGGGTTTGAGGTGCCGAAGGGAGCGGATAAGGGGTTTGGGGAGGGTCTGGGGCAAAGCGCGTTCCAGGCTTTAATTTGTGGCGGGTGGTGGTGGGTGTTCACAGCGGCTGTGCACCTTGGTGAGGAGGAGGAGGAGGAGGAGGAGGTCTCGGAGGTCGAGTAAAAGCCTTTCAATAATGCGATGCTTCACCCAGCAAGCCCTTCGCTGGTCTTGCAGTGGTCAGCTGGCCTTTCGCTCGCAGCAGAGCCTCTTAAAAATGAGATAAGTCAAAATTTTCTGTACTCTGAGGGTGGTCGAGTGTTGGCATGGGTTGGCCAGAGAGGCTGTGGGGTCTCCAACCCTGGAGATACTCAAAACCTGATGACGTGGTCCTGAGTGACCTACTCTAACTGGCCCTACTTTGAGCAGCGGGGCTTGGCCAGACCATCTCCAGAGGCACCTTAATGCCTCGACCATTCTGTGATTCTGTGGTGTATAACCATATGAAAATACAGTATAAAAGATTTAAAGGAGCAATGCGCAGTATCAGGTCCAGAGCAGGTAGCACCGGACAGCATCCAGAGAGCCTGCTGGGGAAGCCTGGCCATGGGGATGCCTGCTGTCTTCAGAGGGGTGACATTAGGGACACATGCCCAGATTTGCAAAGCTGTTACACATTGGATAGTGCAGGCAGGCCAGCGGGACTTTTAGTGGGTTAGAAACTGAGCTTGCAGAGAAGCCACTGGGTCAGAGGAACCACACCAAACAGCTTTAGTCACTAGATGTAGATGTTTGTACGCAGAAGATAGTCTCCCAAGGTCCCCTGTATTGTCAGTGGAGAGAAGCCTGTCCTCCAGGACATGCCAAAATAGTGGGATGAGTTGGTCTTTAGAAGAGCCTGGGCAATTTTAAGAAAACGTGCTTTGTCCTCATTTACACCACTATATACCTAAAGCACTTTGGAAAATCTGGTGATGGGGGATGACTGGAATCTGGAGGGAAGATTTCCTTCTCCCTTGTTGAGTAATGCGCTCAGCAAGCATGCATGGTGCCATCCTTCATTCAGGTCTACCTCAGTCATTGTGCTAAGCCTTGTGAAACTTTGCTGGATGATTCAAGATGATTCATTCATATTTCTGGTGACTCTCATGCTTTATAACAAGGATTAAAAATGAGTATCACCTTGCTGCTGATCGCTGCCATCCTGATTTATCCACTGATTTCTTATGTGACAGTGTAACAAATACTTCCCTGTGATCTAGACTGAGTATGTTTGGTGTGTTTCAGCATCTGTCAGTCTTACATTTAGAACAGTTACATTAAAAAATGCAAAAGCTTTTCTTCATCCTGTTTAAACATTTGTTTCACAAATGGGGAAGACCAGCATTTCAATTAAATATTTTCATTTAGGACTTTGGAGAGCTGTGTTTATTCACTTAGTTAATTTGTGAATGATTTCCATTCCAATTACAACACATTATAAACAAGCTAATGTTTGTATCCTGTATTGCCAGTTTGTCACTGTTAGTGAGACAGTGGACTGTCTTGGTCATTAGGGCAGATGGCATTGGGATGGATTTCACCCTGTAGCATTACAGAACAGTTGTAATTTTGAGGAAAATTTCTTCTTAGGCATTGTGAAGTTTAACAGATGCAAATATTAGTAATGGGTCGTAGTTAAAGAGCTCTTGTACCACTGTCTTACTGCTGATTTCTGTCTCTTTCTCATGAACGTGCTGATACAGATGATGTTTGCTCACCCTCAAGCTAGCACAGAACAGCCTAGTGCTGCTGGAAGAGGAAGCTGAGGTTGGGCTCTGCTGGCTTTGGACCTGAGCTAGGATGCCTGTCTGACGCTGTGACTGCTGTGGTGATGTACAAAGATACTCTGGCCTATCTCAGGTAACCCAATATGATTTTGCATAATATTGGCATACCCTGAGGCATCGGCTGTGAAGTCTCATGCTGTTATCTATCTTAGGGCATAGTTTGGAAGTTACTCACTCTTCAGGCAGCCTGTGGCCTGGAGGTGTCCAAGAGGTCTGGATGAGTTCAGGCACTTGTACTTTGCTTCAGGTAGCTATGACTGGCAATACATGGGAACTGCTCCTCCAGAGCCATGCCCCGGCCACGTCCTGAGTGGTAAGTCTGCTTCCCAGACCCTGTGTGCTGTGGATGGGAAACCTGTTCATACAGCCTAGGGAGGAAAAGCATCACCTGGTCCAGTGACTTCCTGGTCTGAAGAGTACACGCATCAGGCTTAGGGATGCATCCTGATTTACCCAGTGAGTTAAGTATAGAGCTGTCCGTAGAAACCAAACAGCCCAAATCAGAGAGGAAAAAATGATCCTTAAGTAACACACTGACATATTTTTCAGCTGGGGCCTTACCAGCTAGCAGGCCTTCCTTCAGAAAATCCAACAGGGCTCCATGCTTCTCTCACTCCTTTCTAACCACCCTCTCTTCTTGATCCCTTTTTATAGGCTCCTAGGCTTTAACCCATATAACCAAAACCACCCTGAAGAAGCACCTAATCAAATGGCAGACCTCAGTGTACTCTTACCTGGAGTTATTTTTCCTTTGGATTTTTCCTCATACGTAGTCTCATAGTAACTTAAATAAAAATACTAAGAAAGCTCATATTCTGGTAACAACTCTTGCAGATAGTAATGGTTAGCTGTATAAAGGAAGTGTGAAGAACCCCAATATATGACAGCAGCCTGTGTGCATTATAAACGGCTTTTGTTAGAATTTTCTTTCAGGAGATTTAAAATCTTCTTTACATATTCACAGTGGTATTAAATATGAATTTTAAAATTCAGAAAAATATTAAAAACTTTGAAAGATGAACTGATTAAGCATAAAATTTGATGAAAAATGAATATCCAGTAAAGCAGCAAAGTAATATATAGATAGAATTCTATATGCAAATGTCTAAAGAGTTATTATAATAATTTTTTCTGTCAACACCGAGACAGTTATATGCAGTGTTAAAGTACTTACAGCCCAGTTACCTGGCTCCTGAACTTTTCTCTGTAATTTCTCTATTGCTGAGCATTAAGTATTTTAGATAGCAATAAAAATATGGGTAAGTTTTACTTTCAGATGTGCATCTATCTTCTCTATGAATGCTCTCTGCCCAGCTTGGGCTTGCCTTTAATTACTTCAAGGATTCTCTCCTGCAAAGTGAGAAGTGACTTGAGGTTCTGTAGATGTGTTTGTCACTTCTTTTTAATTCCTTCCTCTTTGCCAATCTTTTTTTATTTTGACAGGGAGCCAGCTTCACATTGATTTAATCTTCAGTGTTACATGAGTGTCATTTAGATACTTAGACCATGTAATGAGCCAAACTCTGCCCATGCACAAAATTGTGCAGTTATTACTGACCTGTCAGAATCTTTGAACTGGAATACTCTGGGCACTGCACAGCCCATTTTACCTTTTTTTTTTTTTTTTTAACTTTTTTTCCTCCCGTTGGTGAACAAAGCGTTGAAGTCTTCACTCATTTTTTCTGAATTGCTAGGCAAGCTGAAAAGAACTAGGAGCATAACTGAAGTAAGGGTTATAGAGAGAATGCTTTGAGTTTATTCCCTTATCCCAAATCAGTCCTTTGTCCATTTCTGAAGGAAAGAAAGAAAATGGAGAGTAAAAGAATACTTGCTAATCTGTATCAGTTTAATAGAAAATAAGTCTTGTCACACAGACATGATGTTATTATGAGTGGGAAGATATATTTCGTTTCTCTACAAATGCAACAGATTTTTGAAAGGCACTTATCGTATGTCATTATAACACAAGTGCCAATTTTCATTAAAATACTCATGAAGGGGATTAATACCTGTTTTGCTACAACCTCTTAAAACACTAGCTTCCAGCAGAGCCTGTGCCAGACTTGCAGTTATTCAATAACCCAGAGGACTGCTGGCAAAGAATGGGTGTATTACAAAGATGGATGTAATGGTAAATGAAGAGGAAGGCAGGGCACTGAGAAGGGAGGCTTTTGGTCACACAGCTTGTTCAATTTATTAATACGTGCAGCTAAATGCATAACTGTATTTCTAAGAAGAGGTGATGTAGTCATACCTACATCATGGGGGACTGCATACTGGAAAGCATTGACTGTGCACAGGAAGTAGTTGGTTCTATG